ACCATGGCAACCATGCTCCGGGGTCTTCTTCGCTGCTTTTGGTGTATTTCGCCACTTACAGGCCTGGCATATGTACTACAGCGTTTCCAGCATTTCCAGCGGTCTAGTGTGAACGGACACATTAATGAATCGAATGCGTGTGAACGGATGACTTTTTTGCGTTTGCGTATGCGTTTTACCGTATGCGTCCTCGTGGGGCCGGGTCTAAGACAAACTATATCCGGTCACAGAGATCTGCTATTTTAAAGTAAAGTCAACACATATAGACCCTAAATATAGTCTATATTAAGAACGAGAAAAGTCTTAACATATCCTTTTTTGTAAACATATGACAAATGTGTGAGGGTGATGACGTCAGAGCATCGTCTTATGTGCCAGGGCTTAGCCCCGGACAGCCCCAGCCCAATTTAACCCCTGGGTATTTGTGAGGGAGCTCCTATATGGCGTTACCCCGCTGAAGCTCACCAAAGTTTAACATATTTCATAGTTCAAAGTTTTGTCAATTGTTTTGTTTATTGGTCAAATACTGGTTTCTAATGTTTTCTGAGGAGTTTTACTGGAATGAAAGAGCACAGAGTACAGAAGCAACAAAGCAGCATACTGCATTAAACCTGACCTTCACAGAGAGGTTGAAGTTCATGTGGAGAGAAGGCTTCAGTAGTCTGTCTGCACTCTGTTTAGTTTTGCTATCTTACAATCAATATAGTAAATGTGAGGTAAAGTGTGTCGCCAATGTAACCGGTTAGAACTCAAAGTTGCGATGAGGTCTTAAAATGTATGGAAAGGGTCTTAAAAAAGGTCTTAAAAGGTATTAAATTTGACTTCAGGATTCCTGCATATACCCTGTACTAAGACATTTCATCAAATGAATGAAGGTTTTATCATTTTTACATTGATTTATTATTAATGCTGTTTTGTTTTCAGATTTACATCAGCAACAGCAAGAACCGGTAACTTACAAACCTCATACACTACCAGCATTTCACTTTTATTTACCGTTTTAAAGTCATTGACATAAAAGTCATAAGAAATAATTGGAAAGAAACATTTGTCCAAGGCTTGGTTCTTGAAAAGATATTTAGTCACATTTAATTATAAAAACTCAACTCCCATACTATATAAGGTTTAATTTCTTTATCATAATGTTTGTTTGCTCCTGTACACATCTAGACTTGGAGATGTTTCCCAATGCGAGAGACCCTTTATCCCATCTTGGCTATAGCAGCAGCGGAGATGGATCACAAATACGTCAACATGAGGAAACCTTGTACACCGAACCGCTCCTCCAATCGCGGGAAAGCTACCAAACAGCTTTCAGCAAGTTGTACTCACAGGAAGCAACCTATCAGAGGGTACGAAGTTTCTGTATGTCTTTATAAAGTTATAACACTGTCGTGTAGTCAGAGGTGGGAAGTAACTAACCTAAAGTGTTTTGACAATAATGTATTGGTACTTTTACTCAAGTAAAGCATCTGAATACTCCTTCCACCACTGGGTGTAGTCATGAAAGGCAGAATGAGTTGGATTCTTCTAAAGGTAATTACACCTCTCAATCACCGCTTACCACTCAGTGTTTAGGGGTGTCTGTATCTGCAGACGGCTTGTCCTCTGCTTACGTTTTGTTATTTTCCTGTGTTTTTGACATTTCCTGGCATCAATCTTAAAAACCAGGTGTAGGAAAAGCATGCATCCAAGAGGAAGCTAGGAAAACGGAAGACATCGTGCCAATAAATGCGAATGTAGTGAGGCAAAAACATAACTTCAGCTCGTTCCAAAAAGAGATTGAATCTATAGTTGGAGTCTACCCGCAGGCGAGAACCGTAACTCTTGTTTAGTTGAGGAAGAAGTGCAAACTTCTGAAAGATCCTACTCACTCTGTCTTGGCTGTTTCGTAGTTGTAAATGCTAAATTCCCTTGGGCAAAAAGATTAATGCAGGCTTTTTTGAAGGAGTCATCCCATCTATATGAACAAAGTCCATCAAGGCCGATGTCCAGCAGCAGTACCAGCAGCTTAGCCGTATGCAAAGTTCCAGCAGCCCTGGCCAACTTATCTCTGGACATGGGTCTGGAAAGAAGCCAACCGTGGGGAGAGCCGAAGAGCCAGATGTCGAGGTCCCAAGGCCAGAGTGCTTATGACACACATGCTGAAGTCAGTCCATCACAGTGAGTGTGAATCTTGTGTCTGACACAATGTGACATTTGTTCATATCTTGCAGCTCCACCATACCCATCTAAGCTCTTTTTATATTTAGCTTGACGTGTCTGGATTTCACAGTTATATAGCTTGAGGTTAAATTAGGGATTGGTATGACTGAAGCACATTTTTTGTATTTGTAAACCTACTTGCCAAAACACCTGATTCTGATTGCTTCATGTTACAGATCAGAATGGCCAAATATTGAAAAAGACTCTCCTGATTATTACAGTGTTGACAGCATTCATATGGATGGCACAGAGTACAATGACAGGATCGTCATGCAGTCAGACGGACAGACCGCCCCTCCTCTGGTTGAGGAAAGCAGCACAAATGAAGGATGCTTTGAAGATCAAAGTAACATCTTCTATAGCATCATGGAGAACAATGAGAGCATACTCACCTATGAAACCAGTCGACATATGAAAGCTCATAACAACGGGCTGCACTCAGTTGATGGTGAAGCTCTGGCAGCCAGCAGTGACACCTGGAATACTGCAGACAAGTACATCTCCTCTACACCACGGGTTACTACCTGTGACGTGATGGTTGGCACTGAGATGCCACTGTGCACGTCAGCCGACACCCAAACTACGGCTCCAGAAGCAGCTGACAAACATATCAATACTGAAGTCCATATGGTAGATCTGGACTCATTAGTAAAGGTAATGATCAAACTAAAGAGCAGTTATTATAATAGCTTGAACAAAATGTAACATAACCTATTTAAACATTTCACTTTCAGGCATTTACCAAACTCGAGGGAAAATATAAAAGGTATGAGACACACACAGTCCAACACTAAACGTGGGCATTTCTTCCACAGTAGTTGTTGAAGCCATTTTGCATATCTACCTTATTTATATAATTATAATTAATGTGTAATTATATTATGCAGAGGATGTGATGGATATCCCTGTGTTCATTATTGATATTGAGGATCACTGAATTAAAGTGACGTCACATATAGGCGTGGTTTTGGCTAGGGATGTCCCGATCACCTTTTTTTGCTTCCGATCATTTGATTTTGACAATTTGCCGATACCGATTTTTCCCGATCCGATCTTTATGCAATGCATTAAAGAGAAAAAAAAGCATTCAAGTTGTCCCTTAAGGTTATTTTTTTATTTAAATTGGATATTCTATCCAACATGGATATAGCTTCTTTCTTTCACAGCAGCATTGGATCAGTTCAGTTGTGCAGCATTGGATCAAAACAAAATAAAGCTTTCAGTACTCGTTAGCTTACTGCTACAATTAGACACTGCGCCCTGCCCACTCTGTTGCCAGATGTGAGAGAAATAAGCAACCAGGTCTATGAAAACAAGCCCCAAAGAAGCAACACATACATGATGTTCTGTAATTTGAAACCCAAACTAAGGCCTCAGGATGACTTTAAGACTTGAACATGGTCATTTTTGTTTTGTAACATGGAATACAAAATTTAAAAAAAAGTATTTAAAAAAAATTCCCCATCCACTATTTTTTTCCTCCCGATTCCGATCTTTTGAAAATCACGTGATCGGCTCCGATCCCCAATCACGTGATCGGATCGGGACATCTCTAGTTTTGGCCCTTTCTTTTAGGACAGGTACTCACACTTTTCCACCGTGTGATAGAAACCGCATGGTGTTCTCTGCATGATACAAGA